CCGATCTTGGGCTTGCCAGCTTCTGCAGCTGTGTGACTTGGGAGAACCCTCTACCCTGATCCACGGACTTGGGACGTTCTAGCCTCTACAATCGCGTGAGCTGTTTCCTTGATATAATCTCTCTCTCTGTATATATATTTATACACTTTATCGGTTTTGCTTCTGTAGAGAACCCAGCCTAAGACAGGTAGCATCCAACAACAACAGCAATGGGACATTATTGGGTCAGTTGATACAATTGGAATAGCGATGGTAGCTTGGATATAAGCATCGTATCCATTTGTGACTACTACAGATAAAACTGCTGTGAACATTTCTGTACAAGTCTTTCTATGGATGTATGCTTTCGTTTCTCTTGGATAAATACCTAAGAGTACAATGGCTGAATTATATAGTAGGTGTGTGCTTAACTTTTAAAAAAGTTTATATTAATGTTAACACGTACTGAAGTAGCTAACTGTCCTTGTTCTTAGGAAATGCACATTGAAGTATTGAGGGGTAAAGGGGCATAATGTATGCAGCTTACTCTCAAATAGTTCAGAAAAAGAAAAGAAAAAAATATATAGAGAGAGAGCAGGGGAGAGAGAGAATATAAAACAAATGGAGCAAATGTTAACATCGGTGAATCTGGGTAAAGAATATATGGGAGTTCTTTGTACTATTCTTGTAACTTTTCTACAATCTTGAGATTATTTCCAAATATAAAGTTAAAAAAGAAAAGCTGTAATAGGTTAGAGTGGGACATCTGGATTCTGAAGATCTGTATGAATGTTGTTAAAATCTGTATGCAATGCTGAGATATATTAATATAATTGCAGTAGCACTTACAGCCTTGCCATATTGCTTTTCTTCATTTCTGTCCTCAGAACAGCCTGGAGTGGTAGCAGGTTGTTAAGTGAAGTTCTTTCCCTGGATCATAGCCAAATCCCCTTAGAATTGGAGATCTAGCTCTCTTAGCTGAATTTCCACGTTTTAGCAAATAAACAGTCTGACAGTTGTCAGACTCGGTTATGTGATCCTTCAGCTTTAAAATTATATGGGGAACATGGATATGGTTAATGTTAGAAGGAAAAGAAACCCAGAGGGGATGTTAAATCCCAGATATTTTAACCTCGTGAAGAGAAGGTTGAATTATTAATTTTACAATATGCAGAAAGAAGAGATATACCATAAATTCTCATTTTTTCTCAGGTCAAGAAGCAGACAGAAATTTGCCTCAGGGGGATTTGAGTTTTTACAAAGCCCTTCACCAGCCAAGGAGCCCTGGTGGCGCAGTGGTTAAGAGCTCGGCTGCTAACCAGAAGGTCGGCAGTTCAAGTCCACCATCTGCTCCTTGGAAACCCCGTGGGGCAGTTCTGCTCTGTCCTGTAGGGTCACTATGAGTCAGAATCCACTCAGTGGCAGTGGGTCACCAGCCAAAGGCTGCAGTTTCCTTAAAGATCTTTAAGAGGGATTGCAGGAGAGCCTCACTGCCCAAATTCCCCCCACCCCCACCAGCCCTGGTGGTGCAGTGGTTTTAAGTGCTCAGCTGCTAGCTGAAAGGTTGGTGGTTCAAACCCATGCAGCAGCTTGTCAGGAGAGAGACCTGGCGATCTGCTCCTATAAAGATTACAGCCTAGAAAAGCCAATGGGGCAGTTCTACGCTGTCCCATGGGGTTGTTGTAAGTCAGAATGGACTCAAGGGCACATAACAGTAACACCCATGTGCCTGATCTGTCTCCACCCCCAATCTCCTTTTTTTTTACCAAGAATTTTAAAAAAATCAAGTACAATTTGAAGTAAGACGTAAGGCTTAGATCACACTCACTTGGTAAGAGGACCGGTAGTAATGAGACCTACAGCACTGTGGCCACCTTAAGGAGCCCTGGTGGCACAGTGGTCCAGTCGTGCGCTGCTAACCAAGGGCTGCTGATCCTAAGTGCTGACCAAAAGCCACTCCACGTGGGAAAAGACCTGCTGGTCTGCTCTCATAAAGACGACAGCCTAGACAGCCCTCTGGGGCAGTTCTTGGTCCTGTAGGGTCACTGTGAGTCATAGTGGACTTGCTGGCAACAGGTTTTTCTCAGGACCACCTTCCCTCAACCCGCCATCCCACCCTCCCAAAGCAGGCAGCCCCCTTCTGGCAAGGGCTTGTTAAAACTGGGGAGTAAGCCCCTTATCTCTCAGTTTCACGTCTATTTCCTGTAGCGTACAGTGCTCAAAATTTTTTTTTTTGGCCTTAAAAAAAATTCATTTCTTCTATAAAATACTCAGATTTCAACTCTAAACGATGGAGTTACGTGCTACACAATATAGACACTGGAATACGTTGTTACCGTTGCTGTGAGTTGATTCCGACGTGTGGCGACCCCATGTTTGCGGAGGAGAACTGTGCTGCATAGGATTTTCAAGGCTGTGACCTTTCAGAAGCAGATTGCTAGGTCTGTCTTTCGAGGTGCTTCTGGGTAGCTTTGAACCGCCAACCTTTCAGTTAGTAGTCGAGCGCTTAACCGTTTGCGCCACCTAGGAACTGTATTGTCTCTTCAAGGGGTAAATAGTCTTTACTGTGGGCTCTTTTCATGTTTAGCAAATTTAATGTTTGCTAAATTGTCATTGGGATATAAAAATACATTGCCTTTGAGTCGATTCCTATTCTTAGCAACCCTGTAGCACAGAGGAGAACTGCCCTATAGGGTTTCCAAGGCTGTAAATCTTTACGTAAGCAGACTGCCACATCTTTCTCCCAAGGAGCTGCTAGTGGGTTCCAACCGCCGAGCTTTCGGTTAACAGGCAAGTGCTTTAACCACTGCGCCAGCAGGGTTCCGCGTGGGGATATAGTAACCATAAAATATTTGTTCTGAAACCACAGCTGATTAAACCATCATTGCTTGTGCTTTCTCTGGAATTTCAGCATCTCCAGGCTCCAGCACTTGCTTAGCTGCTATGACTCCGGTGAAGCTGTGTTTCTGGGAGAGCGTTACGGCTACGGACTGGGGACTGGCGGCTACAGCTACATCACGGGAGGAGGAGGGTAACTACGAGAACAGCGTCTGTGACTGCTTCGGACATTAAACTTCTGTTTCCACGTTGCAGAGCTGTGTCTGTGGCGTTGGGCTCTAGGCTGATACGTTAAGTGCTCTCTAAGTGGTTCTTGTTGTTGGGTGCCGTCAAGTCGATTGCAACTCATGGCGACCCCATGTGACCGAATATAACTGCCCCATAGGTTTTCTAGGCTGTAATCTTTACGGGAGCAGATCGCCAGGTGTTTCTCCCGCGGAGTGGCTGGTGGATTTGAACCACCAACCTTACGGTTTGCAGCCGAGTGCCTAACCACTGCACCACCAGGGCTCCTCCCTTTCACGCGGGCTGTCTTGGTTGTAAAGCCCCTAGAAGGCAGGCGCTGGCCCCGTGGAATCACTGTGTACTGTCGCCCACAAGGTCCTCCACGTGTAGACATTTAATGATTAATGAGAGAAGGAAGGGAAGAGTGTTGATTCATTCTCAGGCATTTCCTGAAGCTTGTTATTCAAAAAAAACAAAAAACAAACCCATTGCCGTCTAGTCGATTCCAACTCATAGTGACTCTACAGGACGGAGTAGACCTGCCCCATAGGGTTTCCAAGGCCGTCACCTTTATGGGAGCAGATCACTAGGTCTTTCTCATGTGGAGCTGCTGGGTGGGTTTAAACCGCCGGCCTTTTGTTTAGCAGCCAGGCACTTAATCTTTGTACCACTGGGCTGCTTCTGTAAATGATAGCTGCCACTATAATATTTCAAAGTTAGTAGATAATTTAGCAAACATTAAGCTTGATAAATATGAAAAGAGCCCATAGTAAAGACTGTTTTATCCTTTGAAGAGACAATATAAAAATGTGTGTCAAGGTGCTTGGTAGAAATGTCCCTAATGATAGCTTCTAGGCAGCTGTCTTAGTTATCTAGTGCTGGTATAACAGAAATACCACAAGCGGGTGGCTTTAACAAACAGAAGTATGTTTTCTCACAGGTTAGGAGGCTAACAGTCCAAATTTAAGGCGCCGGCTCCATGGGAAAGCTCTCTTCTCTGTCTGCTCTGGGGGAAGGTCCTTGTCTTTCTTTAGTTTCTGTTCCTGGGTTCCTTGGCAATCATGGGGCGTGTATCTTGCCCTCTGTGCTTGCTTGCTTCATCTGCTCTTTTATATCTCAGAAGAGATTGATCTAAGGCACACCCTACGCTAATATTGCATCATAATGTAACAAAGGAAACCCATTCCAAAATGGGATTATAACCACAGGTATAGGGGTTAGGATTTACAAAACATATTTTTAGGGTACACAATTCAGTTCATAACAGCAGCTAATTAGTTTTGGTTTTCTGTTTAAATGAAAAAAAAAAATTGGATATAGATTTTAATTTCAGAAAACAAACCATTAGACTTTTAAATTAGCCAGTGCTTAATAAATCACATTCGGGTGAAGAGTAGTATGGAAGCTTAGATTTAAGCAATGAAGTGATATTTGTGTAGGATTTCTAGGTTTTAAATAACAGTAAAAAAAAAAAATCACTGTTTTTAAATGAAACATCTGTGTAATCTCTTATGGGGAAAGACTGCAATTTGATTATACCGGTAAATGAATTGAGCAGTTGGTCTCTCCTCTGTGCTGTTTGGGTATTTAGGGAGAATCTTAATTTGTAATCAACTCTTGTTGTGGTTGTCAAGTACCCTTGAGTTGGTTTTGATTCGTAGGGTAGCTGTAGGGTCGCTATATGGTTGCTATGAGTCAGTCGACTCAGTGGCAATGAGTTGAACCCCGTGTGACAGAGTAGAACTACCTCGTAGGGTTACCTAGGTTGTAATCTTTATGGGGAGCCCTGGTGGTACAGTAATTAAGTACTTGGCCCCCAGCCAGAAGGTCAGTAGTTCAAACCCCTGGCTGCTTCGTATGAGAAAGATGTGGCAGTCTGCTTCCCTAAGATTCCAGTCCTGGAAAACCTATGGGGCAGTTCTCCTTTGTCCTGTAGAGTTGCTGTGAGCCAGAATCTACTCAGTGGTACCGGGTTTGGTTTTTTGGGTTTTATTTTATTTGGAGTTTTCTTCGTATTACCATGGGTGTGAGAGTCTTTTGCATCCTTTAGTAGCCTAACTGGAAGTGGAAGTTTTCCCACTGCATTTAAAGTCCGCAATCCTTTGTCGCAGCTTACAAGGCTTCTCACGATCTTGGCACGTGCCGTTCCACTTTCCTGATATAGCGATATATACTGTCAAAGAATCACACAGAACTTATCTCCGTTTCTGTTTTCCCTTTCCCCCAGGATATGACACCTGCTGTCTCTCCATAGCACTGTCCCCTGCCCTCAGCTTCAGGCCTCCTTCACCTGGCTAATTCCTCCTTACCGTCTGACTTTGTATAGCCATCGTTATCCCTGCGAGCCTCCAGGCCAGCCTCCTCCCGCAGAGCTGGGTTTTGATGCTTTTCCATTTTACTTTCATAGCAGATTATGCAAGTGATTATCATCTCATTGCTTATTTACTTTTCTGTTTTCCACCCAAATTATGAATTCTTTGAAGGCAGCACCTGCATCTCATTTCTCATTATATTCCCACTTTATAGCATAGGGACTCATTTTTTACTTTTTTTGGGTGCAGTGAATAAATGAGTACATGAACACCCGACATTCACCTTTACATGACAAACATTGGCTGGCGTCAGGTTCTGGTTTTAATCGTGCTTTTAACAAGGATGCAGACAGATTCTTCATGAGATTGTCTCCTGTTAGCCTTTGATAAAAGCTGCAGGTGTAATGTTGAACAGTTTCTGTAAGCATTATAGTAGCGTTTTCTGATGATTTAGCTTTAGAACCAACATGGCAAGTCAGGATCAATAAATGACTTGTGAAGTCAACTAATGTGCATTTTAAAAACTAGTCAAGTATAGAATGGAGAATAAAATAGAAAATATAGTGTGTCATGTGTAAGCACTGTTCTGTGAATTTTTTGGTTGTTTTATACCTATACCTACACACAAACAAAAAAAAAAAGTACATATGTATATATATGTGTGTGTATATGTGTATACATATACACGTATATATATATATATAAAAGGAGGCCTGGTGGCCCAGTGGTAAGAGCTCGGCCGCTAACCAAAAGGTCGGCAGTTCAAACCCACCAGCCGCTCCTTGGAAACCTTATGGGGCAGCTCTCCTCTGTCCTGTAGGGTAGCTATGAGTTGGAATTGACTCGACAGCAATAAGTTATATACATATATGTATACACACACGCATATATATGCAGGAGCCCTGGTGGCGCGGTGGTTAAGCGCTCACCTGCTAACTACAAAGATCAGCAGTTTGAACCTACCAGCGGCTCTGCAGGAGAAAGATGTGGCAGCCTGCTTCCATAAAGACTTACAGCCTTGGAAGCCCTACGGGGCAGTTCTGCTCTGTCCTAGAGGGTTGCTATGGGTCACAATCGGACTCGACAACACACAGCAACAGCAACAAACTGTTAAATGTAACACTGCTGATGTCAGCATCTTTTATGAGAAGTGTGGTCTCTGAACTCTGTTTCTTCAGTCACGTGGTTGAGGAGCTGCTCCAAGCCCTCTCTCTGCCTCCTTCTGGTTTCCCTCTAGAATGGTCTTCAGCAGAGAAGCCATCAGGAGACTCCTTGCCAGTCAGTGTCAGTGCTACAGCAACGATGCTCCGGACGACATGGTCCTGGGGATGTGCTTCAGTGGGCTGGGGATCCCAGTGACGCACAGCTCGCTCTTCCATCAGGTGAGAAGGTGGTTTACACCCCTACCTGGGGGAGAGAGGGGAGTGTCTTCTCACTTGTGAATTCTACTCTTTTTCCTCCACATCTTCTTTTCTGAATAGTTTTAAGAGCTGGGGTGACAGGCTTCTTAAAAGACCTGCTGGTCCAAAGGGCTGATGCTGTGCCATGTACATTAGAAAGATGGAAGGCAAGAACATCTAGAAAACAAAATGATGTTTGGCCAGTACCCTTGCATGTTTGAGCACGGAAAAGCTGCTCTATTTTTTTTTCTTTTCAGTTAAAAAAGTTGATGACATTTAAAAATTATTAAATGCTATCTTAGTTATCTAGTGCTGCTATCACAGAAATAACCACAGACGGGTGGCTTTAACAAGCAGACGTTTATTGTCTCACAGCAGGAGGCTAGAAGTCCGAGTTCAGAGTGCTGGCTCTGGGGGAAGGCATTCTCTCTCTGTCGGCTCTGGGGGAAGGTCCTTGTCTGTTCCGAGCTTTTGCTCCTGGGCAGTCTTCATGGGGCTTGGTGTCAGTCTTCCCCCATTGCTACTTCTTCGCTTGCTTGTTTAATCTCTTCTATCACTCAAAAGATATTGACTCAAGAAACACACTACACTAATCCTTTCTCATTAACACAACAAAGACAAATCATTCCCAAATGGGATTATAACCACAGGCATAGAGGTTAGGATTTACAACACATATTTTTTGGGAACACAGTTCAACCTATAACAGATGCTATCTAGGCGTGTATAGGACTGACCTAGTATTGTCCTATTGGCTACCAAATGTATGTAATTCTAGTCTGTCCTCAGTTTTTACTTTGTCCATCTGTCTGCTTTTTCACTGGGCTTTCTCCTTTTTATTGTTATTAAATGAAGCAGCTAAAATATAATAAATTTGGATATATTATCTCAAGGAGCCCTCCTTACGCAATGGTTAAGTCATATGCTGATAACCAAAAGGTTGGAGGTTTGAACCCACCCAGTGGCTCCTGGGGAGAAAGACCTGGCGATCTGCTCTCATAAAGATTACGGCCTAGAAAACTCTATGGGGGCAGTTCTACTCTGTCACAAAATCGACTCACTGGCACCTAACATCTCAACAAGCACATAAGCTGGGGTTACAGAAATGAAGAGATGAGATGATATTTACTAGGAGTACCCGTCCTCATTACTGTTGAGGCGATTCTGACCATAGCGACCCTATAGGACAGAGTAGACCTTCCCCATGGGGTTTCCTAGGCTGTTATCATTATGGAAGCAGATTGCCATATCTTTCTCCCGCAGAGTGGCTGCTGGGTTCGAACCACTGACCTTTTAGCTAGCAGCCAAGTGCCTAACCACTGTCCCACCAGGGCTCCTTTTACCAGGAGTAGTTGGTGCTGATAGCACCACCATATTGCTCTTTGGGGTGGGAGAAGGGAATTCTTCTGCATTATTTTTAGCAGTCTTAAGAATTGGGTCAGTGAAAGTTCTTATATTCTAAGAACTGTAGCAGATATGCTTGGACTAAAAATAACCATACTCCACATCCATCTAATGCTCTCCTTTAAGAGATTCACGTTTTCTTGAAATTTGACATGTATAAATGCGTGTGTATTTTAAATGCCCCCAAGAATTGAAAATATAATCTTCACGCTTTATTTACTAAGCAGTAGCAAACGTGTCATAGCAATCTAGAAAACTGAGTATGACAGAAATAGCACCGTGGAGAAGACTTGAACAAGGGGAAGAAAGTGTTTGCATTATTTAAAAAAAAAAAAACAGTCTCCATTTCCACCTCCTTTAGGATAGCAAGGAAGGATAAAATAGACCTTTAATAATAAGAAGTGTGTGAGAGCCCTGAAGAGGTGAGGGAACCCTGTGACGCAGTGGTTAAGTGCTGATGGCCGCTAACCAAAAGGTTGGCAGTTCCAAACTACCCAGTGGCTCCGAAGGAGAAAGATCTGGGGATCTGCTTCTGTAAATATTACAGCCTAGGAAACCCTGTGGGTAGTTCTACTCTGTCACATGGGGTCGTTATGAGTCAGGATCCACTGAACAGCACCTAACAACAACATGAGAACCCTTAAACCTTACTCCTGGTACCAGTCAGAAGGCACTCACCCATCTTTTAAAACCTTGAGTGGTCTTACCCATCTACGTGTTATGATGTGATGACTTAGAAAAGCAACTTATTCTCTCTCTCTTGGTTTTGGTCCTTTCGTAACGTTTCACCCAAAGAAAAGGAAAGATAATTCAAACTGTTGGCATGTAAGGAAAATAATTTCTCTCTGTAAGTCGGAAAGGAGTAGAATGGGCCGAGTAGGAGTAGGAGCATCAGGAGCTGTCTAACTTCTGGGGGGATAATGCGGATGAAGATCAGCCCGAGGCTGATTCCTGTGAGGTGGAGGTCGGATATACCTCCGCTCTCAAACCTTTTCACCAGTTCTGACCTGGTGTAGGAAACTAGAGCACAGGTAACTCCTCAGGGTTTAGGGGAAAGTCTCTCAAGCTGTTTTTCTCTAAGGAATCAAGGCAAAAGGAACTCATTTCAACACAACAGGTCTTACATTTTTGAAGCAGCTCTTTTCACTTAGCGAATGCCTTGGTCAACAAAATGATAAGGAGAAAAAAAGAAGGAAAATAATCTAATCCTTAAGCAAAAGTCCCATAAAGGTAATTAAAAAGAAAAAAAGTTAGTTGTTTCTCACACTTTAAAACTCTTGATTTCTCTAATTCACATAATACACTTTAAACCTTTCTAAAATTGTAAAACATGTCTAAGACCTATCCTCCCCAACAGATATTGCTGTAGCTTCCAATTTTTAAGCATCTTTTCAAGAGTTTGATGTGATTTGGACAGTGCTTTACATGTAAGATATGTAAGTCTGAATACTGACAAAAGCAGTGTATTTGTTCAGATTCAGAAAGAAAGAAAATCTGAGGTTCATCCTGATTTTAGATAGAGTAGATGTTTGGAAACATTCTCAGATGCAGTGTTGCCTCTGCAACATTTCTTCTCTCTTGTGAGTCGGAGAAAGTTACGGTGAAACTATAACTCTTGTACACCTCCTGATAAAAAGCAGAGTATTCTGAGTATATGGTTTTCTGTTCCTTCAAAAATATACGCCACTAATAGGTATGGAAGGTGTCCTGGTGGTGCAGTGGTTAAGCACTCAGCTGCTAACAGAAAGATTGGTGGTTCGAACCCACCCAGCTGCTCTGCAGAAGAAAGACCTGTCGATTTGATCCGTAAAGATTACAGCCTAGAAAACCCTATGGGACAGTTCTACTGTGTCACGTGGAGTTGCTGTGAGTCGGAATAGACTCGACGGCACCCAACAACAGCAAACAGTGGGTGTCACGTAGTCAGTGTTCGGTGAATCCTCTGTGCGAACGTGCGCACGCATGTGTAAAACTAGACAAAATTGTCGAAATAGTCATTTCAGGATTTTGAAAATCAACCAGAGGCTGACAACAAATTACCCATTGCCGTCTAGTCGATTTCTACTCATAGCAACTTCATGTGACAGAGTAGAACTGCCCCTTTGGGTTTTCTAGGCTGTAATCTTTATGGGAAAGGAGTCTTGGTGGAGCAGTGGTTAAGTGTTTGGCTGCTGACCAAAAGGATGGCAGTTCAAACCCACCAGCTACCCTGCAGGAGAAAGATGCAGCAGTCTGCTTCCATAAAGATTTACACCCTTGGAATTGGGGCAGTTCTACTCTGTCTGTAGGATCGTTATGAGTTGGAATCAACTTGAAGGCAACGGGTTTGGATTTTTGGAATCTTTATGGTAGCAGATTACCACATCTTTCTCCTGTGGAGCGGCTGGTGGGTTTGAACCACTGACCTTTTGGTTAGCAGCTGAGCTTAGCAGCCGAAAATGCTTAACCGTTGGGCTACCAGAGTTCCTTGACAACAAATTGAGAAGCATTTATTCCTGAAAAACTGCTACAATTTTGGGTAAGAACAATGGAATCTGAGTCCTTCTTGCCCGGGGCCACTCCCCATCTCTCCCCAGCTTGAGTGTAAGGACAGCAGTTTTACCTGCATGAGACTGGCTAGAAAAAATCAGAAGCTTTACTGCTAGAGGAGGTGAACTTGATTTGGGGAGGGGGAGGTGTAAACCCATAGCTTTGCCAGCTAAAATCGTCAGGCTAGCCTGAAGTTGTCATCCGAATTGGGATGAGGGGTGAATCAGCCAGAATTTTAATAAGGATATCCTGGAGATGAGAGAGCCAAAGCAGGGCTGGGTAAGCTCTCCACACGTCTCTGGCTGACCAGGAAACCATGTGCTCACATGCATAGGAGACTGGAGAGCACCAACCAGAAAGTAGAAGCCAAGGCGTCTTGAAAACTGGCTGACCTTTGAAGGTGCTTTGCAACGCACACATGGGTGGACACCTCTTGGGGGAGAGGTGTTTGAGCACAGACTCTGCCCAAATCACCAGCTGACCACTAAGCTACTGAGACACAGGAGCAACTTCTAGCAAGCCAGGCTGCAAAACACAGTGAAACTGGGACTCGACGGGGCGGGCTTGTTTTTCTGGGTCTTGCAAGTTTTCTGCCTTTGGCAGGGTGCAGTCTTACCACTTTTCTCTCACTCTCTATTAAGAATCCTACCCCATAAACATCCAGTGAGTTTTCTTTCTCTAACGGGTTTCTGCCTTACACAGGTTCCAGCTTTCGCAGGTGTGACTGGACAAACAAGAATTGAAATTTGATCAGAGTCATCAGTAGCCACATACTTCAGGGAGAAAGATTCCACAGCTTAAGTCTAGGAGAGTTACTTAAAAAAATAAGTAAAGAAGAAAAAAAATCAGATTTCTGAGTTATTCTAATACATTATCTAAAACAACCCAGTTTTCAACAAATAATTGTGAGACATGCAAAAAACGTAATCGGGGAATAAAGCAGACAGTGGAAACTGACTCTGGGTAGGATCAGAATGGCAGTCTTCTAAGCAGTGAATATAAGCACTGTCACAGAAGTAGAGGAAGCTTTTCAGATAATTAAAGAAAAG